TCATAGAACATGGAATGGTTGGGTTGGAAGGGTCCTGAAAGGTCATAAAACTGTGGAATGGTTGGGTTGGAAGGGTCCTGAAAGGTCATAGAAGCATGGAATGATTGGGTTGGAGGGGTCCTGAAAGGTCATAGAACATGGAATGGTTGGAAGGGTCCTTAAAGATTATAGAATGGTAGGGTTGGGAGGGTCCTGAAATATCATAGAAGGGCTTGAATTTGGGTCCTTAAAGATCACAGAACAGTTCCTTAAAGATCACAGAACAGTTCCCCAACCACTTTCCCTCCTTTTATCTCCCCTCTCCACAACAGAAATCCCAAAGGAGAGCTCCGAGCCCCCCAGATGGGCTCCCTGGCTGCACCATTCCCCCCCCCCCCCGCCGCCCCCGCCCCCCCACAGCGCCCCCCACCCCAGGCCTTACCTGTGTGCGTGCGCTTGTGCCTCTGCAGCTCATCGGAGCGGGTGAAGCGCTTCCCGCACAGCATCCACCCGCAGATGAAGGGCCGCTCCCCCGTGTGCCACCGCAGGTGGGCCCGCAGGTGGGAGGTTTTGCCGTACACCTTCCCGCAGCCCGGGATGTGGCAGATGTGCTGCTTTTTTTTACCTGGATCCCCAGAGCTCCTAGAAGAAGGCGAGGGCGGGAATCAGAACAGCCCCGACGGCGTTTCCCCCATCCCCATCCTCACCCGACAAAACCCAAACACCGCACGGGTGACCAAGAGCCAGCTTCCATCCCTTGGCCATGAGATGCATCCCATAAACGCAGCTCCGGCAGGGAAGCAGAGCCCGGCAGCAGCAGCTGCCCCGCACGCAGCCTTACCTCCCCTCGCTGTCCTTGCAGTAGGGACAGGTGCAGGCTTCCCTCCGCACCTTCCGGCCCTGCTGGGGCTGTGGGTCTGGGCTGGTCTCCCCTTCCTCCACCGCTGCGCTGTCGTCGCCCAGGCCGTCCCCGCTGGCACCGTGCAGCCCCAGCTGGGCGCCGTGTTCCCCTGGAAGGCAAAGCAGGGATCGGGATGGGAGTCCACAAGGAGGAAAAGGGGACTGAGAGGTGACCCCGTGCCCACCCCGACAGCCTGACCGAGCCCCAGGATGCCATCAATCCCGGCTTCCTCCCTCAGCTTTCCCTGGTTTTCCATCCCTGCAATCCCACCTCCGGCCCCCAGCAAAGCCGGTGCTCCGTGCCCACCAACGGTGTCCAGATCAGAGCTCAGAGCTGAACTCCTCAGCAAAACCAGACCTCCAACGTCCCTCTCACCACCTGCCAACTATCTCAGCTATTTCTAGTGCAGAAAAGCAAAAAATGTAAACCCAGCAGCACCGGGCGGCTCCAAACAGTGTCAGCGATAAGGAAAGCATCAACAGCACTGAGGGGAGCCCTGCCCTCCCCAGCAAGGCCTGCTGCTGGCATTTCCTCATTCCCACATTCACACCTCACACCGTCGGGGCCGTTTTCCCTCTCCTCTCCCTGCTGACAGCTCCAAAAATGACCTTTGCTGGTTCTCTTCCCTTAAAAGCCCCCTTTTCCCCTCCATTTCGGGGCTCGGTGGACCAGCCCGCCCTTCCCAAGCATCTCAGCTTCAATCCCAACCCAGGAGCAAATCGGTAGAGCAGATGCGGCGCCTGGTGCCAAAATCCCCCCAAAAAGAGCAGCAATAAATAACGCAGCCCGGAACGCCGCCGATTGGCAGAGATGTTAGCAGCTCCAGCTCCTGCTTAATTACTGCAATTACAAAAAGGGATGCACATATAAAGTTGAAAAATCATCTGGCACCGCAGGTGGGACGCATCCCCCCCCCCCCCGGAGGAGCCATTCCCAATTATGAGCCATAGGGACGGCAGTGCTGAGCTCTCAAAGGCAGACAAACATAAACCATTCGTAACGGGGGGGGGTTGAAGGGCGAGGAAGTTTTCAAGCCTATCAGTTTTCATTGCCGTTTTATTGCTCTGCAGCTTATGCTGTCATCTAATTGCTTCTCCAATAACCCCAGCTACACTTCACAAGTGTTTTATTTCCCTTCCAGCTCCGCTGCTTGATGGTTTTCATGCCGGAGAGCTGCGCCGGCAGGCTGAGTAATCTCTTTTCAGCAGCAATTAACATATGCTAATGGGGCTGACGGCAGATTTAGGGCTGGTCCCAGCCCCAAATTCACCTCTTCCTCCCAACCTTCTGAGATAAGGAGGTCTGTAAGGTGGGAAGAGAAACCCGGACAGGCAGAGGAACCTGATGGGGTTCAAGCGTGGGGTTCCTATGCATGGGGAGGAGCAAACAGACATCAGTGCAGGTCAGGGGCTGAGCTGCTGGAGAGGAGCTCTGCAGAAAGGATCTGGGGGTCCTGGCAGCCAGCCGGGCCAGCAGTGCTGCCCCGGTGGCCAGGATGGTTCCCTGGGAGGCACAGAGCGAGGCCAGCAGGGTTAAAAGGGCCGCGCTGTCAGCTGTGTCAGTGATTCGCCCCGCATCACACAGGACTCACCCCAACTCTGCTCCCCGCTGCCTGCAGAGGCTCCGCCAGCAAAGCAGCAACCTTGGCTTTAAGAATCTGGTTTTCCGTGCTCTGGGAGCAGGCAGCAGAGCGAGCAGCTCAGGTGGGATCCACTGCGGGTTCTGTCAGCCTGTAAACCTTTACCGGCTGCAGGATGGGAGCAGTTCTGCAGCCAGGAAGGAGCTTCCAATCCCAGAGGGCAGAGGGAAAAAGATGGAGATGTTCTGGGAGAGCTTCTGGCCATGTCAGCAGCTCTGTTACCAGCAGGTGTCAGTGGTGCCTCAGGAAGATGAAAAATCACCAAAAAGAGGACGGGGGCAGCTCCCAAGGATGTGACACACAGCGAACGCATCAGCCTTTGGCTTCCTCCTCCTGCACCGCCAGCGTCCGGCGGGAGGAAGAGCTCCGGTCTCAGCCTCTTCATCACACGAGGATGCTTAACGAGGCTCCAAACGAGCTGCTCTGCGGATTTCCACAGAAAGAGGAACAGAAAGAGCAGAACTTCTGCTGCTGGGGACGGAGACGCTACAGGAAGCAGAAGGGCTGCAATCAAGGAAACAAGCCCTGACTCACTCAGCCACTGCTGCTGTCGCAGCGTGGACGGATCCCGAGCAGGAGAGCGGGGCTCCATCCAGGTGTCACCCATCAGGTGAGGGCTGTGCCCACATCCTGACCCCACAGCAGTGGGGCTGAGGGTTGGAGGATGGGCTGCTCAGAGCTGCGCCCACCCCAGGCTGCTCCCCTCTGTCCCACGGCTGCGGCACACAGCTTTCCTCTTTTTGCCATTTCCAGGAACTGCCAGAAGATCTTTGCAGCTTCCTGTGAACCTTGGAAGGGCTGAAGCCTGGGCTCCGAGCAGAGACCCCCAAACCTTTCTGCAGGGCTCCTCCAGGCCACAACCACGGCTCTACAGAGGCTTATTTTCCCCCCTAAAGGCGCTGCCCTGGTTGTGCTCACACCACAACGGAGGAAGGCTGCCGAATGCAAACCAGGTCCTGCTGCTCAGTGCTGGGCACAAGCTGGCATCCCTCCGGATTGCCACCAGGTTTGGAGATGCAGGCCGGGCCCTTTGGCAGCACCACTGCTGCACCCCCCGCAGCATTCAGTAAATTCAGCACAAACCCTTCCCGGTGCCCCCCCAGCTCTTACAACATATGTTTACAGGCTAAAAGCAGCACGGGAGGAACCGAGGTGGTTTTGTTTCTAAGCTTCTTAAGCCGACAGCTTGCAGCTCCCAGATTAGAGATTTCCCTGCTGCGTCTGCGCCGTCCTGAGAGGGGGGGCTGCAGCAAACGGGACGGGAAAACACACGAGGTTCCCCCCCCCAAAAAAAAAATACAGTGGGGAATGGAGGATCCCACACCGGTACCTTGGAACCGCTTCAACCTTCCAACAGGCAAAAGCCCACGCAGCGCTTTGCAGGCTGCTGGCACGTCATACAGAGGGGAAAAAAACCCAAGGCTTCCTTCTGGTAATCTATGGCTCGCATCTAATTAAGGTATAAATAAATTACGGCAGGGGAAGACGGATGGTGTACGTGCACGCTTCATCCTTCGAGTCTCAGGACGTGCCGAAGCCTCCAGAATACTGCAGCTTCAGAGGAGAACGTGGTGGAGGGAAACCAGCTGGATAATTGACGTTTATTATCTGCACTAATATAGATTGCTTCCAAGACCAAAGCTTTTGTGCTGCTGCCAAGCCCCCGGTCCGCGCTCAGGTCAACGGAGTCCTGAACAAACACACAGCAAAAAGCAGAAAGCAGGGGGGGATGCGCTGTGAGAGGACGGGGTGGGAGGTGGCACAGGGACCTCCTGGCCCTGCCTGCTGCCCTGCCATTAAAAGCCCAAAGCTTTGGGCTCGGGGCTGGAGGCCGCGCTGCAGACAAAGTGCTGCTTGTCTTCCAGCTGCTCAAAGCTCGGGCCCAGTGGTTTTATTTAGCAAACTGAACCGAGGTGAGAAACGCTCTGCGGATGGGAGACGGGGCTGCTCAGAGCCACCCCGGGTGACCTCCAGAGGGGACAGGAGCGACGTTCATTCCCGGGAAGGAGCTGGAAAGAAACGGCTTCTTGTGCAAACAGCAGCGCTGGCAGCCACAGCTGTGCTGAGCAGGAGAGGAAGAAGGGAAAGAAATCGGCGCTGTGCAGCACAGAGCTTCAGCTTCCAGAGGCACAGAGACGACAGCACGGCTCCAGCAGCAAAACAAGGGCAGCAAGGCCCCAAACCTGACAGCACAGTGTGAGCCCTGCACGGAACACAGCACCAAACCTTCCCAGCGCCCAACAACGCTGCGCCTCGTCCCATTTCCTCCTCCTTGCCTTCATTCCTTCTCTATTTTTGGCAGCCTGTGAGCTCCGTCTGACTGCTGCTCTCCCACATCACATCCCGGAGGATCACCGAGGAGCGCAGTGCGGGTCGTAATGCAGCCCCTCCATTTTTATCTCCTTTCATTTCCTCGCTCATCTTCAAAACGAGTGGAAGCCATTGATGTCAGCGAGCCAAGCTCCATCTTTGTAATAATCCTTCCGAGTTCTCTGGGTTACAGGCAGGGGTGCAGGGAACGTGCGCCGCTCAGCCGCGTGCGATGGTGCAGATTCGAAGTCAGGCTGCAGCACATTGAGTAACTGCCACTTCTTCTGCAGTTGAACGACTTGAAAAGCCACACGGTGAGCACTGCGATCCCCTGCCATGGCTGGAAGTCTCCGTGCGTCACCATTAATCACACTTCCTTCGGAGAAGCACTCAATGGGCACTGAGCTGGCAGGTCTGCGCCCATCCGCCTCTGCCACCCGCAGTCGTGCGCAGGGACGTCGCCTCCTGCGCTCACACCGTGACCCCCAGGCTGTGCCAGCAAACTCGGTCGCACTGAAAACCATCCCCACACGTCTCCTCTGCCCTCTGCTCTCCATTGGGATTGCTGCAAGGCTGAGATCGTGCCTGCACTGCTGGAAAACTCCGCTGCTGCAGCAGCGACCCTGCGGCACCAACAGCTCCGACCGAACCACACCGGGCTGAGTGAAAACCCTGCAGCGATGGGCAACGAGGGTCTGAGCACAGCCAGGAGGGGACAACGGGCGGAGAAATCCCCCCTCACACACAGGATGTACCTACAGACCCCAAAGCTGGGCCGCGCTGCTGCCCTCTGCAAGGAGGACTGGTAACATCTCAGACCCAGCAGGGGCCAAAACGCAGCTCTGAGCTGTGCAGACTGAAGGGGAGGGGAGGGCAGCGCTGAGCTGGGCGGGGAAACTGGAGCACAATCACAGCTATGCACACCCAACCAGTCCGACCAGCAGCGCTGCAAAGCATCCCGGTGGCCTCGAGGAGGAGGAGGAGGAGGAAGGGCAGAGCTGCCCGCAGTCCCCACGCTGTCAGCGGTGCTGGGAGGGCCCCGCGTGCTGCCTTGCAGTCACACCACGCTTTTCACCCCGCAGAGCTGAAGGAGAGGGCAGCCAAAGAGCTGGGAGTATTTCGGGTCCGGCCCCGCGGAGTTCAGAGGAGGAAGTTTCACAAAGTCATTATTTTCTGCACTGATGTCATGGGCGGAGTGAGACAAACAATTACAGCGCGTGAAGGGGAGAGCCTGTCAGGGCCTGCTGGCCCGAGATCCGTTCCAAAGCTCCCCTCCCCTCCGCGGATGATGCCATGGGGATGTCTCATCAAGGCCACGCTACAAAGCTGCCCTTAAAAACACAAAATGGAGACAATCGGGGCTTTGTGCCGACGGCAGACGCAAAGTCAGGGCGCACAGCTGGGGATGCGCTCAGCACCCGGGGTCCAAAGGGCCGCTGGCTGCACCGAGGATCCGTGGGGCTCCGATCGATGCCTTGGTTTGACCACGAGCCTTCATCCATGCGAGGGTCGGAGCCTGGGGACGGCCTGAAGGCCGCAGGGATGTGAGAAGTGGGTCCAGAGTGGATTCAGGCAGTGTGGATGAGGCTGGGGGGCGCTCACTGCGGTGGGGCCGGTCCCTCCGTGTCCCTCCGTGTCCCCCAGCAGTGCAGGGATGAGGCTCCCCACGTGCCTTGGATCTTTGCCCACCAGTGGGGACATTCTGGCATCCTCAGAATGACCAGCATGCCTCCAAGGCAGCGTGACTGGCCCAAAAAAGAGCCCTCGGTGCCGCTCTCCATGTGTGCCCACAGCTGGGGGGCCTTTCCCAGGGCAGGAAAACGATGCTCAGCTGTCTGCCACAAAACCAGGGGGCTCCAGCACTGCCCCAGCACAGCCTACTGACCAGCAAATGCCGGAGCCAGGCAGTGCCCCTCGTCAACCAGGGCTGCAGAGGGGCAGGGATGGGTGTTTGTGGCTGAGCCAACACCAGAGCTGTGGGTCACTGACGCCCCACTGCTCTCCTCGACAGATTGGGCAGAAGGCAGAAGCGAAACCACAGCATCGCAAACTTCTCCAAAGCCCCGCTGGGCGCAGCCACCACCTCCCAGGGACACAGAACGACCCCTCCTGGCACTGCAGGGACCATCAGTGACCCCACTGAGCACGGGCAGCCGAGTGCCAAAGCATCAGCAGCCCCCAAAAAACCTCATTTCTTCACCTCAGAGCTCCCTATGGGCTGGGGCAAAGTGGCACTGAGACACTGTGAGGGATCTGGGGAGGGGCCGAGCCGGTTCGGGGCCTGTTTGCCTGCATGCCATCCCATCACAGCCACAGAGCTCACCTCTCTGCTGCTAATTGGCAGCCGTCAGCTAATTAATACAATCGTGGCCTGAACTACAGCTGCACCGGGAGCTGTGCTTTGATTTTAAAACCCTTTTTAGGCTGTCTTCTTCTCGAGGGGGATCTGTCCCCTCTCTGCTCTGGGCTGCACACGACAGACGGAGCCTCAGCCACGTGGAAGCAGCAGCAGCAGGGCAGAAACCCTCCAGGACCTCACGCAGGCGGGTCGGCGCTGCTCAGCACTGAGCCCTGCGGCCTCAGGTCCCCACAAACCCTTTGAAACCCGAAGCCTGCCCCGATCCAACTTCACACCATCAAAGCATCGCCTCGATGTCGCATCCTCCCGGCTCCGAGGCAGCAAATGCGACAGGGCGTGCAAAGGGGCTGCGAAAGGCGCTGCAGAGTTGGGGGGAAAAAGAAAGGAAAGAAGAAGGGGAGGAGGAGGAGGAGGAGGAGGGGAGCTGGGGGTTGGTCTCGGGAGCGGAACTCCCTCTGAGGGCAGAGCCAGGCAACAGACCAGGATTCCCCCATGTGCTGCTGGTGGTTTTCAAACACTGCACGCACGCGGCACGACGCCACGGACCCCCGGCTCCTCCCCGAGCCCACGCTGCTCCCGTGAGGTTCGGGGCAATGGAGATGGGGATGAGGCAGATCCTGACCGCGCCGCTGCCTGCAATACCCCGGCGGATGCCTGCGAGCCGAGCTGCTGTAGCAACAGCCCAAAATACTGCTGCAAAACAACCGCGGGCCAACGGCCACGGCGTCTCGCGAGAAGGAAGCGGGGCTGAGCAACGCCTGCGCTGCCTCTAAATCCAGCAGCGGCCCTTTTAGCTGCAGCCAGAACGTTACAAACAAGGAAAACGAGCAGCGAGCAACGAGCGGAGCTTCGTGCGGCAGCGATTCCTTCTCACACGTGGCACTTTTTTTGGGGGCAGACGCCGGGAGCAGCCCAGGCTGCAACGGGAACACGGCGTCCCTTCAGCACAAACACACCCGGCGAGAGCTTCCGCTGCTGCAGCGGCTCCCCAGGGCTTTCTGGGCTGTTTGTTTTTCTGGAGGAGGGCGGGGGGGGGGAGGGGGGAGGTTGCTGAAGACCTTTTGCTGCGTTTTTCTGCGTCCTACACGCAGTCGTGGCTCTTCCTGCCCCCCGCCCCCAAGCCCTGTGCCCTCCCCAGCGCGCTGCTCAGCCCCCTCCCCAGCGTTTGTGCTTCACCCTCAGCTAATTGCTCAGCCCTGCTCGCTGCCCACCTCTCCTCCCTGTGCTCCACTCGCATCTGCTCAGCCAGCAGACAGCTCACCAGAGCCAGAACTTCCCAAAGCTGCTTTCGGTGTCACTTGGCCACCAGCAGAGGCTCACTGTTCCTCTCTAAGGCTGGCACGAGCACCAGGCTGCTTGCCAGCTGGATCCCACATCCATTACCCCCGGATCCGGCTCCAGCTCGGTGCCACCAGCACACCGCCGGGCCCAGGCACCACGGTTTCACCTTCGATTTCCTCCACTTGGCTCAGGGAGGGGACCAAGCCCATCCCACTTACCGGTAGCGTTGGCGATGGCCAGCGGCAGCCCCGGCAGCTGGTGCACTTGGATCCCAGACGCTCCCAAGGCACTGAGGTTAATAGTCTGGAGGCCTGGCATAGAGGAGAGCTGGGCGGCGTTGACCGTCACCGTGCCGCTGGGGAGGGAGGCGATGGGGGTGAGCGTGGTGCTGGTGCTGCCCGTCTGCCCCAGCGACACTCCTTGCATGGGGGCCAAGGTGATTGTCTGCGCCTGGGGGTTCTGCACCTGCAGGTTCTGGAGCTGGATGGTCTGCCAGCTCACCTGCCCGTTCGGCCCCACCGTGGGTGTTCGGATGATGATGGGCCCGGAGTTGGGCACAGCCTGGAGCTGGAGGTTCTGCAAGGCATCCTGTGAGATGGCTTGGGTGGCGAAGGTCTGGCCGGAGAGCGGGGCGGTTTGCAGGGCTTGGATCGTTTGCCCCCCCTGGACTAACTGAGGCTGGATCAGGATCTGCTGCTGCTGCTGCTGCGACTGCTGGCTCTGATCCCCCTCTTTCTGCTGCCCCGGCTGCAGAGCCACCCCAGAGACCTGGCTCTGCAGGGAGTCCGTGCTGGGGGCCCTTTGGGGCGTCTGCACTTGGACGTTCGTCCCCACTGTGGAACTGCTGGAGAAATTCATGATGCCCATGTTACTGGTGGTGGTGGTGGTGGAATAGCTGTTGGCGTTGGTAAAAAAAGAGCCGGAAGTGGCGTGGGACGTGGCAATGTTGGACGAGCTGATGGCAGCACCTGAGGTGGTGGGCTGGGAGCTGCTGTCCGGGGAGCCGGAGCCGCTCAGGGTGACGGTCTGAGAGGTGGGGGCCAGGCTGGCGGCCACGCTGTTGACGGGCAGCAAGGTGATGTTGCCATTGAGAGCCACGGGGACGTTGGCCACGTACTGGGTTTGCCCTGAGAGGGTGTTGTTGGCCAAGCCCACCCCCTGGATGGGGACGGCCTGCTGCAGCAGGTTGGGCATGGCGATGAGGTTGCCCGTCCCCGCTCGGCTCGTGATGATCTGCTGGTTCGTGCCGGGGATGATCTGGAGCTGCCCAGAGGCATCCTGCTGCACGTTGACTTGGGTGGGGGTGGTGGCAAACTGGAGCTGCTGCCCGTCAATGGTCTGGAACTGGGGAATGACTTGGTACTGGATGTTGGGGATGACGCCCGGCAAACCCGTGAGCACCTGCTGGTTCTGCAGGTTGGAGGCAGCCGTGACCACGTAGGGCCCCGTGCTCACAGGACGGCTTTTGGAGGGATCTCCGTTGCTGCCATTGCTGCCCTGCTCCTTGGAAGGCGTCGGCGTGGTGGAGCCAGTGGAAATGATCTGCCAGCCGTTGGCCGACTGCGCGATCTGGGCAGCGGCGGCCGTCAGGTCCAACTCACCGCTGCCGCCTTGCTGGCCCTGAGAGCTGTTGGAATTCTCGTTGGGAGACTCAATCCTGCTGCAGGTGGCAGCCAGCAGAGCCAGCGGGGACGGCTGCGACTCCTGAGAGGGGAGAGGAGGAGTTAAAGGAGAGGGGAGGGCGGCCCCGTGGGCAGGCCGAAAAGAAAAGGAGGAAAAAAAATAAATAATAATAATAAAAAAAGGCAGGGAGGAGCGTACTTGGAAAAGATAAACACTCCTTCCTGAGAAAACCCACGCACAGCCGGAAAAATACAACTGCCAGACACAGGGCTGTCAGGCCGGGACAGATTGAACCCACAGAGAAAAACCCTTTGGGAAGGGAAGAAAGGGGAGGGAAGGAGGGAGGGAGGGAGCGCGTGAGAGAGCCTCCCCCGCCCAAACGCAGTGAGAGCTCCTGTAAAGCTGCAGGACAGCAGCTTCTGGGATTTGCAGCCTGTCTTGGACACCCCAACCAGGCACAGGGCGGTGGTGTCACCCTTTTGGGGTCACGGCGACGATCCCTCACGCTCTCTTCCTCACCCCAGGGAAAACAGGCTGCGCAACGCTCGGCTGAGCTGAGCAAACAGGGAGGCTGTGGACTTTGTGCCAGGGCAAGCAGAGCCAGGAAGCCGTGACATGGAGCGTGCCAGGGGCTGCACTCACTCACCTGGCCCTCCCCAGCCGGTGAGCTGCTGTCACTGCTGCCATCTCCTTCGCCCCTCTCGGGCGTTCCCTTCACCGCTGCCATCTCCTCGGGACTCTCTGAATCTACACGGGCAGACAGAAGGGGTTACAGACATTTCCGGGCCGTGGGGTGGAGTGTTGGGGGTTGGGGGGGGGGGGGGGGGGGGGGGCGCGGGCCGGGGGGCGGGGGGGGGGGGGGTGAGGAGGGCACGGGGCAGGGCGCTGAGGGGCAGCTGGAAGCAGGATGGGTGGGGGAGGCCCAGGCCCGGCTCCAGCTTCGCTCCTCCCCGCCCTCAAGGGGACACTCCCTGCTCCCCCACCCCCCTCCTCCGCCCCAGGGCCTCCCCGTTCCCCTCCCCGCAGCCCCAGGAGCTCAGCCCAGCCTCGGCCCACCCCCCTCACCCTGCCCACGGGATTCCCCCCCCCGGCCAGATCCTCCCCCCGGGCCCTAACAGGGATCCCAACACCCAGGGATCCGTGCTGTGATTTGCCCCCCTCCCCCCTCGGCAAACCCCTCATCACATTCCAGCCTCCGCATTTCTTTCCCCAAAGGCCCCCC